AATAACAATAAATAAGTTTAAAAAAAAAAAAAAAAGATGGTAGCTGGCAGGGGATATGGGTCAAGAGGGGTTTTTATTTCATGGTGGGTAGGATGTAGTAAGCTTACGAGGGGCAGGTAGTCTCCAGCATGCTCTCTGGTCTTACCCCAGTTGCTGTTCCTTGTCTGTGGAGGTGGGAGTATTGGGATCCTGCTCTGCTGGGGCATTAGCGGACGTGCTCAGCCTCAGCTGGGCTCTAGAAAGTCGTGGCGCCGGAGCTGGAGCCTCGGTCTTTGCTGCCCATCCTGCTGGACGCCGATGCGTATTGCTGAAGTGTGTTCCGCTCCTTATTTGTGGGAGGCACTCAGACGGCCTGTTTAGGACGCAGGTCGCCTAGCGGTCGTGACTTGCATCTGCGGCACACAGACCATTGCTGCGAGGGCACCCCTCCGAGGGAGCGCGCGTTGCCTTGTGTCATTCCTTTTATGGGATGGAGTTGTCAGACCATCTTATCTTTTAGCTCAGCTTCCCGCCCCCAACAGAAAACGCTTCTGGCACTTGCTGTGTGTGGTCAGTAGTTTTTGTGTGTCATTGTGGAACTAGGACCTGCGCCATCGCCATGGCGGCGCAGAGGCGCTCCCGTGGGTCTGACCGGCCGTGCTGCTGCGAAGTTTGCTGAGAGATGTCGCGTCACAGCGCTTGCCCTTAGCGATGCCCTGGCTTTGTATCCTGAGACAGCAGCAGCAGCACAGCCGCACGCTCATCTCTTCCTTTCGGCCCGTCCTGCCCACAGCAGTTTGCAGCTCCGCAGGCTGGCCCGCAAGGTCGAGTCCAGGGGTCTCCGTGACAGCCCCCTCGCGTCGGTTCCCATCATCACGGTGCTTCCAAGTGCAAACCCTGTCCCGTGGTAGAGTCTCTCTCATGCCTTCATCATGTCTTGGTTCGTTGAACTCTCTTGTTTCCACACTGAGACTTTACACTCCTGGTGGGGAAGCCCTGTCTTTCTTTCACAGTGCCTATACTTTCTGGAAAATGCTGGATAAGTACTGGATAATTATCACACTGTAAAAAGGTGTGCGTGCGTGCGTGCTTATGTATTTCTGATAATCTATGTATTGGGGCAGCACTGTGGCACAGTGAGTTAAGCCACAGCCCATAATGCCGGCATCCCATATGGGTGCATAGTCAAGTCCCAGCTTCTCCACTTCTGATCCAGCTCTCTGCTAATGCACCTGGGAAAGTGGTGGAAGATGGTCCGAGTGCTTGGATCCCTGCACTCACTTGGGAAACCTGGATGGAGTTCCCAGCTCCTGGCTTTGGCGTGGTTCAGTCTCAGCCATTGAGGCCATTTGAGGAGTGAACCAGTGGATGGGAGACCTCTCTCTCTCTCCTCCCCGTCCCTGTAACTCCATCTTTCAAATAAGTAATTAAATCTTCCAGTGTTCACAGTCTGTGGGTGCCAGGGAGAAAGGCTGGAATGTGTGCACACAGCGTGACAACCCGCAGTGGGCCGCTGCCAAGAGCTCTGTGTTGGGCCGGCGCCGCGGCTCACTAGGCTAATCCTCCGCCTAGCGGCGCCGGCACGCTGGGTTCTAGACCCGGTTGGGGCGCCGGATTCTGTCCCGGTTGCCCCTCTTCCAGGCCAGCTCTCTGCTGTGGCCAGGGAGTGCAGTGGAGGATGGCCCAGGTGCTTGGGCCCTGCACCCCATGGGAGACCAGGAAAAGCACCTGGCTCCTGGCTCCTGCCATCGGATCAGCGCGGTGCGCCAGCCGCAGCGCGCCGGCCGCAGCGGCCATTGGAGGGTGAACCAACGGCAAAGGAAGACCTTTCTCTCTGTCTCTCTCTCTCACTGTCCACTCTGCCTGTCAAAAAAAAAAAAAAAACTCTGTGTTGCCCGCCCAGCGGAGCTCAGTCTGCTGTGGCCGCGGGCCATTAGCCGCTTCCGAGTACCAGCCTGCGTGCTGTTGAGGAGTTTCCAGCGCGTGGACTTGAACTCCTGACGACGAAGCCAAATCGAGGCCAACAGACTGCCCTGTGCTGGCTTATCCAGCGCGTGGACTTGAACTCCTGACGACGAAGCCAAATCAAGGCTAACAGACTGCCCTGTGCTGGCTTAGTGCACCACTTGCTATCATCTTGTAAATCAAGGACGTTTCTTTTTTTTCTTAAGATGTGTTTTATTTATTTGAAAGGCAGAGTTAGAGATCTTCCATCTGCTGGTTCACTCCCCGAATGGCTGTGACAGGCAGGACTGGGCCAGGCTGAAGCTCGGAACAGGAGCTTTTCCGGGTCTCCCATATGAGTGCAGGTTGGGGCATCCTCTGCTGCTCGTTCGGGTGCATAAGCAGGGAGCTGGGTCGGAAGTGGAACAGCCGGGTCTTGAACTGTGCCAATATAGGATGCTGGCCCTACAGGCCATGGCTTTAACTCACTTTGCCACAGCATGCCCCCCACCCTTTAAGATTCATTTTTATTTGAAAATCAGAGTTAGAGAGAGCGAGCGATTCCATCTGCTAATTCACTCCCAAAATGGCCACATCCACTGTGGCTGGGCCAGGCTGGAGGCAAGGAGCCAGGAGTCAGGGGCTTCGTCCATGTCTCCCATGTGGGTGCAGGGGCCCGTGAACTTGGGCCATCTTCTGTTACTTTCTCAGGTGCATTAGCAGGGACTTATACCAGTGCCCATATGGGATGCCTGCATTGCAGGGAGTGGCTTAACCTGTTGTGCCACAACATTGGCCCCAGGGCCGGGGCTGGCGCTGTGGCGTAGCAGGTAGAGCCACCGCTTGCAGTGCCGGCATCCCATATGGGCACTGGTTCGAGTCCCAGCTGCTCCACTTCCAATCCAGCTCTCTGCTGTGGCCTGGGAAAGCAGTAGAAGATGGCCCAAGTGCTTGGGCCCCTGCACTCACGTGGGAGACCCAGAGGAAGCTCCTGGCTTCAGATTGGTGCAGCTTGGGCCATTGTGGCCAATTGGAGAGTGAACCAGTAGATGGAAGGCCCCCCCCCCACCTCTTCTTCTCTCTGTGTGTAACTCTGACTTTCAAATAAATAAATTAATTAAAAAAAAAAAAAAAAAACAAGCATTGGCCCCAACATTTGCCATTGTTACTCAACCTTCTGAGCTAAGAAAGGGCTTCACTCTCCGAGCCAAACCTCCAGGATATCAGGGGTTGGAGGGATTTATCTGTCTGAGCAGAGGAGCCACTGGACACCTGGTCTCCTACTCACCGAGTTCTTTCTCCTCCCTGTTGTTTTAAGTTAGACATTCAATTTGCAAAGCCATGTCACTCTTCTCATCACTTTTCAGAAAATAAAGTTGGTTTCATAAGATATTTATCAGCTGGCGCCGCGGCTCAATAGGCTAATCCTCCGCCTTGTGGCGCTGGCACCCCAGGTTCTAGTCCCGGTCGGGGCGCCTGTTCTGTTCCGGTTGCTCCTCTTCCAGTCCAGCTCTCTGCTGTGGTCCAGGAAGGCAGTGGAGGATGGCCCAAGTGCTTGGGCCCTGCACCCATATGGGAGACCAGGAGAAGCACCTGGCTCCTGGCTTCAGATCGGCGCGGTGCGCCGGCCGCAGCACACCAGAAGCAGCGGCCATAATGGAAAAAGGAAGACCTTTCTCTCTGTCTCTCTCTCTCACTATTCACTCTGCCTGTCAAAAAAAAAAATATATATATATATTTATTTATTTGAAAGAGTTACAAAGAGAGGTAGAGCCAGAGAGAGAAGTCTTCTATCCGGTGGTTCACTCCCCAAATGGCCTCAGTGGCCAGAGCTTCGCTGATCTGAAGCCAGGAGCTTTTTCCGGGTCTCCTACACGGGTGCAGGGGCCCAAGGACTTGGCCCATCTTCCACTGCTTTCCCAGGCCATAGCAGAGAGCTGGATGGGAAGTGGAGCTGTCGGGACTCAAACCAGCACCCACATGGGATGCTGGCACCGCAGGCAGCGCTGTACCTGCTATGCCACAGCACCGGCCCCCACTCTATTTTCTAAAACTTTGCAGTGAGCTTGTGATATGTAGGTGTTAGGATTTACTAATTAGATCTGGTTCTTAGATGATTAGACACTCAACATCTCAGCCTCAGGGCTGTTCTTTGCTGAAGTTCGCAAGAGGTATAGTCATACTGGAAACAGATACTCCAGCCTGATTTGTTTTCATTTTTTAAGGATTTATTTATTCATTTGAAAGGCAGAGTGACACTAAGAGGGGGAGAGGCAGAAAGACCGCTTCTATCTGCTGATCCACTCACCAAATGGCTGCAGCGGCTGGAGCTGGGCCGATCAGGAGCTTCTCCCAGGTCTCCCACGCGGGTGCAGGGCCCCAAGGTCATTGCCCATCTTCCACTGCTTTCCCAGCCACAGCAGAGAGCTGGACCGGGAGTGGAGCAGCCGGGACTCGAAGCATTGCCCATATGGGATGTGGCATTGCAGGTGGCGGCTTTACCTGCTGCGCCACAGCGCCGGCCCCAGACACCGTTTTTGTTTGCCATCCCGTGGTGGCTCCGCCTCCTCCTCCTTGTGTTGTTTCATGAGCATCCCTGAGCCCCAGAGAGGTGCAGTAGCAACAGGAGAAACAGCCTCTTCTCGAGGCATGTATGTGAGCGCGTGGTGGTGGCGGTCTCCTTTCACGCCAGTGGGCCCACGTTAACCAGCGTGGAGACTTGTGAACCTGGTGTCGGAGGGCGGGGGGTGACGTTCTGAGTCTGGCTGTCTAACCCGGTCACTCGGTGTGTCAGAGCTGGGTGCCTTCCCTCCGTCGGTGTTGGTCGGTGCCCCTGGCAAGTGCGGTTTGAGGTGTCTCAGCTGTCAGTGAGGTTTGCATGCTCAGGTGGTGCTAACGAGCAGCAAGCGCTAGACTTAACAAGCTCCCCTGCAGTTGCTAGTATCTTGAATTTCTTTCCATTTATTTTAGGAGTAAAAGTCCCTCGCAATTTCCGACTGTTGGAAGAACTCGAAGAAGGCCAGAAGGGAGTAGGAGATGGCACAGTTAGCTGGGGTCTAGAAGATGACGAAGACATGACGCTTACGAGATGGACAGGGATGATAATTGGGCCTCCAAGAGTAAGCGTCGAGCTGCCGCTATCAATGTCAATGTCTTACATTCACTGCGCCTCCTTGTAAAACCATTAGCTTTCTCGTGGACAGAGCTCACCAATGGTATATTTTCTGAAATGTGGCTGTTCTTTTCTGACCAGTTTCAGTTTGTGTGTTTGAACCTCCTCTGGTGCTGTTTAATCCCTCTGAATGGTAAGCAGAAACCCGTTTGAGACTCAGCAGTGTGGATTGACGGGACGCCGTGGACGTGCAGATGTCGTGTAGAACACACTCCGAGCTCGTCAGGTCCCCGGGCTGAAGCCCCTCCAGGCGCGGCTGAGGAAGCCCCCGCAGCTCCCAGGCCTGCTCGGCCCCGTGTGCCCGTGCACCGGCCGTGCAGCGCCAGTCTGTTCCAGGCACTGCTGCGCCCGTGCACAGAAGAGCCGCACAGCGGGACGGGCAGGGGCCTCTTCTAGAGCTGGGGGTCTGGGAGTCCCTGCTCTCCTCCACGCCAGCCCCCCTTGTTTTGAGGGCAGAGTCAGCCCTCAGGAAATGGTAGGCTCACAGGAGCAGGGGTGTGTTGGGTTTGTTTTAGAGATGAGACACAGCTCAGGCGCGATAGCACCTGCACGGTCACTGGGCTGCCGCCGCGGGTCAGCCTGTCTGGCCCCCAGCCTGCCTCTTCCCCACAGGCCCACCGTCCCCTCTGGTCCGTGTGTGGAGTCTGTGTTTGCTGCCGCTCTGGCGTTCCCCGGGTGTGCAGGGGTCGGATGAAGACCTCCATGCTGGTGATAGCCACTTCCCACGAGCAGGGGGTCTCGGCGTGCCCGTGCCAGAGGATGCCAGCGCTCTGCGCCCGCGCCGGGGCCGTAGAGGAGCAGGAAGCCGGAGCTCTGGCGCCCGCCTCGCCAGCCGGCCACACTCGGGCAGACAGGTACCTTTGCTCTCTAGTCTTCTGGGACCTAGAGTGCTGTGGACTGTTTCAAAATAAGCGTTCAGCCTACTGTTACTCATTTCCTTATCCTCTTCTCCTGTGACCCCAGAAGTAATTTCCTACGTCTTACATAGCAGGGGTCGCCAGCCTGGAAGTCCTGTTTCCCCCTGGAGATCCGTCTCCTGCGCTCTGTGCTGATGGCTTCATCCCAAGAATGGCTTTGGTTTCTTGTTCTTTCTTTCTTTCTTTCTTACTTGAAAGGCAGCGTGAGAGATCCCTTCATCCACCTGTTCACTCCCCGAATGCCCGCAGGAGCCTGGCTGAAGCTGGGGCCAGGAACTCCCCTCCTGGTCTCCCACGTGGGTGGCAGGGACTCAGATACTTGAGCCATCAGCCATTGCATCGCGGGCACAGGAGTGGGAGCTGGCGTGGCCGGGTGCCTTGAGGGTGGGCCTGGTCCCCTCCTCCTGACTCGGCAGGTTTGTTCATCCGCGAGTTCTGACAAGTTCACGAATGAACTGGTGCACGGCGCTGTGAATAGCATGCCAACGCCGCTGTGCTGTGCACTTAAAAACCCCACAGAACAGCAAGCAGGGCGTGCGCGATTCCACCTGAAGCGGCCTGTGTTACCACGGATTTCAGTTTCCCTCCCTCCCGACGGGGCTGAGTTTCAGTAAGTAGCCGTGCTGACTTGCAGTCACGCATACTGTGAATTCGTCCTCCCGAGCGGTGCAGCTCCGTGGTTTGACCCTGTTCGAGGCTGGACACCAGACACTGGTTGTGAACATTTTCATCACCTGCAAGCAGTCCCAGCCCTGTCGGCGGTCACTCCCGTCCCTCTGGCCACCCTCTGCCTCCTGCCCTTGACGGTCAGTCACCAGTCCAGCTCCTGGCTCAGGGAGTTTGCTTCTGGACATTGCATGTGATGGGGCTGTGCGGTGTCTAGTCTTAAAGTACTTGCTCTTTCGTCCCGAGGTCCCTGTGCTTGTCCTGAGGTCCCCAGGGTTTACCTCTGCTGACAGCGTCTGTGAGCGTGTCATTGAGTTACGGCGCAGTGCTCATCGGTGGACGGTGCCGTATTTCGTCCCTCGTTAGCTGGCGGCATCTGAATGGTGCTGCCTTTTGGCCGTCGTGGAGAGACTGCTCAGATGGCCGTCTGGAGGCTTCTGTGTAGACGCACACTGCAGTTGTCCTGGGCAGTGCGTGCCCAGGAGTGAGGTGTGGGGCCGCAGGGTCCCTCTGCGAACGTTGAGGGCCTGGCAAATGTTTCCAGAGCAGCTGCCGTTTTCCATCCCCGCCGGCAGCGTGGGCGGCTCTCGGCCTGCCCTCTGTTGTCTCTACCCCCAGTCTGAGTACCTGGCTCCCCAAGGTTAGGAACAGCCGCAGGGGAGCCGTGTCGGGTCCTGAGTTGACCATGGTCAGTGGTCAGCTTGACGACCTTTTCACTTTATGATGGTGCAGAAACACACCCGTTAACCCATTAAGCCCTTCTGTTTCTCTCGGCACAGTACTCACTGAAATTACCTAAGACGTTCAACACTCAGCTTTTATTTATTTATTTATTTATTTATTTATTTTCTGAAAGAGAGGTAGAAAGAGAGGTCTTCCATCCACTGGTTCACTCCCCACATGGCTGCAACGGCCGGAGCTGTGCAGATCCGAAGCCAGGAGCTTCTTCTGGGTCTTCCACGTGGGTGCAGGGGCCCAAGGACTATGGGCCATCTTCCACGACTTTCCCAGGCCACAGCAGAGAGCTGGATCAGAAGTGGAGCAGACAGGACTCGAACCGGCGCCCATATGGATGCCAGCGCTTCAGGCCAGGGCGTTAACCCACTGCGCCACAGCGCTGGCCCCTCAACACTCAGCTATTAAAGAGGCTTTGTGTAGAGCAGTGTGAGTGTTCTGAGCACGTCTAGGCCGTGATGCTCACCGGTTAGGGTGTGACACGTGCTTTGGCTTGGGGCACTCGGCTCTTCAGGTTTTCTCAGGACTGGAACCCCATCGCAGGTTGAGGAGCATCTACCTGCTCCCGGAGCTTCCTGTGACCGATCTGTTTCATGAGTAGCAGAGAAGATACCTGTGGGGTGGGTGTGGGGACGCAGTAGGTTATGACTGACATCGGAGTACAAGTTCAAGTCCTGCCTCCTCCACTTCCAATTCCATTCCAAATTCCTAACACACCTGGGAAAGCAGCGGAAGTGCCTGGGCCCCTGCCACTCACGGGGGAGAGCCAGATGGCGCTCCAAGCTCCTGGCATCAGCCTGGCCCGCCCTGGCCGTGGCAGGCTTTTGGAGCGTGAACCAGCAGGTGAAAGATCCGTCTCTGTCTGTTAAGTATGCCGTGCACTGGACTATGAGCAGAATAAAGGATCTAAACAGAGCACTCAGTGATCTCCCCGTTGTACGTTTGTTACTGTTTTACTAAAAAAAAAAAAGTCTTCATCAGAATGTAAAAGGCAGTGCTTTAGGGCCTGGCTTTCAGATCCGCTAGGAAAGTTTTTCTTGTGCATTGCTCAGAGCGGTGTGCGAGAATTCCTTCCTGGGCTGGGTGGTGCTGTGGTGCAGCAGGCTGTCTCGGCCTGCGGTGCCTGCGCCCCGCGTGAGCACAGGGTCACGGCGGGCTGCTCCACTTAGAATCCAGCTCCCTGCCAAGGCGCCTGGGGAGACAGCAGAAGGGGCCTAAGTGATCGGGTCTCTCCCAGCCCTGGCCATTGCAGGCATTTGGGGAGTGAACCAACAGATGGAAATCAATCTCTCTCTCTCTCTCTCTCTCTTTCTCCCCCACCTCTCTCCATTTCCCTCTTTCTAACTCTGCCTTTCAAATAAATAAAACGAATCTTTAAAAAAAAATTTACTTCCTGCAGCATTATTCAGTGGTAGTGAAATATTAGAAGTAACTTCAGTGTCTTTAATAGACTGTGTAATGTAACGCTTAGCTGTTGAGGAGAGGGGCCCAGACTTGGGTACAGAAAAGCTCAGTTACAGAGCAGTACACAGGGAGTGCTCCCACCTGGGGGCCAGGGAAGTGGGAGAGGGCACGGGGATGTGTGTGACAGGTGTCAGTGTCCTGAGGCTGGGGCCAGGGTGGGACGGAAACTTGGTTTCATTGTATGCCCTTGTGGAGCTGTGGGCGTGTAGTAGTCCTGTCTCAGTGTTAACTGTTTGGATGTCCTCTCTCCCGTGTGTGTGTGTAGAAAAGCGAGTCCTCCAAGCCTAAAAGCAGAGCTTCCTGGGCAAGTCCTCCGTGGCTAATTCTGACCTCCAGCGTGGAGTATTCCCCGACGGCATAGGTGCTCGCTGGGGTCGGGCTGTGGGGCAGGGTTTCTGAGCCTCTGTGGGTGACAGGTCGGGCCGGACCACAGGTGTTTAACATTCTGGCCTCACTCAGGTGTATGCCCGCAACTTGTCCTTTCGCAGCAGTGGCCACCAGACCTGCACAGTGCGTAATCCCCCCTCCCCCCAGCAGGGGGCAGACATCGCCCTTGTTAAGGCACTGCCAGGCTTCTGGGTGCTCCACAGCGTGTGTGTGCACGTGCTTATCCAGAGTGCCGTGGCTGTGCTTAAGAGGAAAACCCAGTCCCAGGAGCGTGGAGGAAAAGGAAAGTCGATGCCTCCCCCAGTTCGTTTGCTCTGCACTGAATGAGAGCCGCTGAGTTGATGTGTAGTGTTTCTGCCCACTTCCGCTGTGGGCACACAACCATAAGTACACGTTCTTTCCAGGATAAAGTGAGAGCGGGCGTTGGGGTCCTCCTCGGATGCCTGTGTGCCTTTCACACGCCCTGGGGCAGGTGCTGGCCCTGGAGTTTGCCCTCGGGCTGCAGCCTGGGTTGAGCCTCTGTTGCAGGCATGGGGGAGTGAACCAGCAGATGCAAGATCAGTATCTACTCCCCCCCCCCCCCCCAGTAAATTTTAGAAAAAGACAAGACACACGAGACCTTACGTGTTGTGTTTTTGCAGTTTGCTCTCGTCATGTGACGGGTGACGGGTGTCGCACGTCTCTCTGGATCAGTCCACACTGATGCGTCTTTAGGAAACCCTCCCTTGGGTGACTGATCCACGAATGTATTCTTGTAAAAATGCCCAGCAGTGCCGAT